TATGTTCTCGGAGACAATAAGCATATGTAGATTATCGCTTGGAGCAATGTTGAAAACGAGCCTCACAAGGTATTGATCTTAATTTCCATAATATATTAATTTCATTTTCAATTGGTATTTAACTCAATTTTCTTTGTCATGATCTTTTGTATTTGTTTCAAATTCATCTATATGTTCTGGCAATACACCATTAGAATTAATTTGACAGCCAGCCAGCCAGCATTACTAGCTCTAGCTACTATCTAATGTATGTGTGGTTAGTTTGTCTTTGTTATTTGTAATATTTCGAAGGCCTTTGAATTAATTATGTCGTGTCTATATATGGCCATGAGCTCATGACTATTTGTAATATTTCAATCTTTATTTATGAATAAAAAATTCAAAGTTTTTAATTATTCCTACTCATTTAACACTCACACTTTCCGACAGATCTTACTTGAATTATAAACATTTTTTTGAGTCACTTAAATTCTTATAATAATGATATTTTTAAGAAATTAATGACATTACAATATCAAGTAAGAACACAAAGGTTATGAGAACTTTTTGTATAATTATTTTGGAAACTTTTATATTAGAAAACCTGAAAAAAAATATGGTGAGACTTGGTAGGGAAGAAGTGGATTTTTTTTTCTCGTATGCAATACAAATAAAATTTTAAAAAAATGATTTGTATTATCATAGCAAAAGCAATGCACAAAAATATATATATACTAGATCCAACTAAATCTGTAAATATTATATTTGTTTATTTAGCCCTTATTTAGATGAAAATGATTAAAATTCATTATTTTTATCATGTCAGCATCTCGTGTCAAAATTTATATGGCACACATGACAAATAAATGGTTCTACAAATTTTGATGTGGCATATCGTTAATAAACCTATGGTACATGTCATGTAAATGTCAACTTCTAAGATTTTTTATTTTCTTTTCTTGTGGACATTGATTTAGAAAATAAAGATTACGTCCCAATTACTTTGTCACAATTAATTTTTTATCAAAATTTTTAATTTTAACTGTTATTATTTTAAATATTTAAATTAATTAAATTTTATAAATCATATATCTAGAAACTCTTTCATTGAAAGTTTTAAAAACATATTTTTTATATTTTTATCAATAATAAATATAAAATAATAGAAGATTAAATTTTAAAGTACTAAAAAAATTGTGACAATTTAATTGAAACAGGAGTAATTGATTTTTTTGGTTTTCATACAAAATAAAAAAGTTAATTAAAGAAATGACAACTTTAAGGGTTCAATTAAATACAATTAAAACAGAAAGGTTTTATTTGAAAATTTTGAAAAACTGCAGGGACATTATAAATTTTTAAACAAAACTTATTTATTTTAGCCAAAAATATTTTGAATTTTTTTTTCCCATCATACAGGCAGCTATGCCCTGGCGAATAAGGGTTTTTTTTCTTCAAAAACTTAGTTATCTGCATCTATGTGAGCATGAATTCAAATAATGTCCGCGACGCAATACAATCATTGCTATTTAGCAATAACGCTACCTTTCAGTATTTTTTTTTTGGGTTACATAAAAAAAATAAAATCTTAATACAAATAATAAAAAAAAAAAGACTTAACTTGAAATCAACCTAAACGTTTTCTCAATCAGACCCTAAACGTTTTCTCATACGCCTTAACCACTAGATCAAAGGTTTGTAAACCCCTTTTAAGTATTGTTACTCATTATATTGGAGGTGTGAGTTGTCATTCACACAAATAAGGATGTATCGCATCTACAATAGTTATATAATAAAAATTGTACTCATAACGTAATGCTAAAATTATTATTTGCATTTTTTTTAATTTTATTTATGAATTTTATATCATATTGATCCCATATTATTATTAAAATATATGAAAATTTATTTTAGCTTATAAATATAAGATTAAAATATCATAAATTACTTTAAATATTATAAATAAATATTATTAAATCAAAATTTTTTTATTTATTACGAAAATTTAAAAAAAAATTAAGACCACTATGAGCACGATTACTGCTGTCTTATCTATTATATCTATAATTGTAATAAATGCAAATAATAAAAACACGATGTTGCCCACATTTTAAATGCCTGTACATAGAGTAATCTCTACTTACCCATTTTTTTTTAATTGGATCGAATATCAGAAAAGCAGGGCCGCCTGTTGGTTACAAGGGAGCCAATTTCATAGGGTTATTAAAGATTTTATGATTCAAGCTGGAGATTTTATCATTTAGAGTAAAATAAATTAGAAATATCGTGATATACTGAAATAAAGTTGTAATATTTTAAACGTAACGGAATGTGAGAACTAATGTAAGAAGATTTTATTAAAACGTAAATCATTAAGTTGAACATATAAAATTTAAATTAATTACTTTTTCTATAAATATATAAGGACAATAGTTTGAAAATTCTTTCAAGATCACTAAAAAACCAACAAAAAAGAATTGGTATTTTAAAATAAAAAAAATTAATGTAAACAAGTGAAAGCAATCGTAAAATTTGCATAAGTTAACAAAAAATTGGTTATAAATGTCTTACCACACTATAAAAGAGTTTTAAACTTTTAAACATAACATAAAGCAAAAACAAATGTAAGAAGATATTATCAAGATGTAATAACTAATTTGGTAATATAAAATTTGTTAACTTCTTATTTTCCATTTAAAAATATAAGGACAATGCTAAAAATACTTTCAAGGCTAAAAAAGGACAAGGTAAAAGAAATAATGTTTTAAAACAAAATAAAATAAATAAAAAATTATTTTAAAGTAAAATAAAATTAATAAAAAGAACAATATTATTGTAGCATAATATCATTTGTAAACAAGGAAAATATAACAAAACATTATTTATTAAAATAAATTGACACACAATTATGCTTGAATTTTTATTTTAACATTTTTTATAAAAATAGAGAAAAATAAGTACAAAATATGTAATCTATAATATTATTTTTATTTGATAGATTATTAAAATAAGTAAAACTCTATTTATATATATATTTTTAATTTGCCTGTTAACCTGGTATATCATTTTTTCTATTTTAATGTCAACTAATATGCATAATTTTGGTTGGTTAAAATTTGATGGAATCATTTATTTATTTAATTTTTTTAGAATTGTTTACTCTTCAAAAAAATTAAAACACCCACTGCTAAACACATTATTCACCACACGTACTGCTAGTCATGTTATATATTGAAAATTTGGTCAAGTTATTGAAAAATGACATTGTTTGGTTTTGATGCGATAAACTTGAAAAAAGACAAAAGTTTGATAGTTATAGGGATATCAATGTCATTTTACCCTTCTATATGGATATTAGACTTGCAAGTTTTAATGTAGTAGATCAACCATAAATAACATTTATTAATTAACACAAGAATTATGGGGTTAATAGAACTTCAATGTGTATACTCTCTTTATCAAATTCCGAATTTCATTGGCTTTATTTGATTTTTATGTGGATTTTAATTTAAATTAATAAATTTTCTTGGATTCAAAAAAAGTTTTAAGATTAAAAAAAATAAAATAATTTATGTTTAAAATAAAAAACTAATTAAAAATATTAACATAAATAAATGAGATGAATTGTAAAATTCGTACTATTTTAAGTCAAATAGGTTAGAAGGGTCGTAGCACCTATGATAAAGTTAAGATAATTTTAAATAAAATAGAAGGTGCGAACTAATGTAAAAAGACTTTATTATAACATAATAATTAAGTTGATAATATAAAAGAGGTGCATTTATGACCATTTTTATCAACGAAAAAGAGGTGAGGTAGAGAATATCAGGGACTGGAAGAAAGGGGCTCTAAAAGTTAAGGCACTCGCCAAGATTATCAAGATATTCTAACAAAATCCTTTCCCAGCAAGCTCCCACTACTAATTTTTCTCAATCACATTCAAAAGCCAAGAAATCAGTGTGCTTTATGTACCTTTACATTAAAGCAGTATTTACAAAAAAAAAAACATGAACATATAATTAACAACGTGGATAACGACATTGACGACACTTAAAAAAAGTGTTTTGCAGCATAATGCAACTCATTTTGCATCCTTAACAATACATTGGACTCCAGACTCATGGGAAAGGCCAAATTTTCCTACTCGGCAGTCATAATAACGAATTCTTAGAGCAGCAAGTTTTTAGTTGCCACAAAAGCCATGATTCAACAACAGTTGATAGGTAAGGCAAAAAAAGGGGGTTGACACAGGGATAATGACAGTTTGTTTAAGCACAAAATATATTCTGCATGACACTAGTCAACAATGAAGCCCTAACAACTGGCAGATTATGCTCCCTAAAATCAATACAGCAAAGTATGCGTTTATGGTCTGATAAAAAATCAGCAAGAACTTACTATACAGCTTTTTAGTTTCAGCAGCTCGAATTAGTTTCAAAATGTAACACATTAGCACTAAACCAACCAAAGGATACGCACATGGTAAAAATTGATTGCCTAAAAGAACAAAAATAATGCACATAAAACATGAAATAATCAGGGAGAGATATAAAACCTAAAACATTGATTACATCTTTCAGTTTCAAAGGAAAAAAAATATATGTAGCTACTTGACAATATATAGAAAACAGCATACCATTGATAGCAGACCAGGACCAGTGTGTTTGGCAATGAAATTTTCATCTTCAAACTTATGCCCATAAATGGAAGTACATGGAGGCAAAATTTTAATGTAACTATTGCACAACATAGTAGCAATTGGCCTCAATATCTTTATTGTTATCAACAAAGGTATACTATTGTGCCGCTTTTATGCTTAACAAATCAAAAGAATGGTCTAAGTTATTGATCTATCGTAACTCAGGCAAACACCACTGTCCAATTTTCAGTTGAAAACTATCCTTAAATTGACAAGTCAAAACCTTAACTTGTAAAATAATCTAGCTTCAACAGGAGAGTCACTCAATACCCTTATTCCCAACTACATAAAGAATTCACCATCTAAAGGAAATCTCAAGAAACTAATTCTGAGGTACTCACTACTTATATGACTAAGCAGAGCAACTAATATTATAAAAGCAAAAACAAATCTCACATGGTAAACTACCAACCTTGACAAAATCTCCAGCTTGAATCATAAAATCTTTAATAACCCTATGAAATTGGCATCCCTTGTAACCAACAGGCAGCCCTGCTTTTCTGATATTCAATCCAATTAAAAAAAATGGGTAAGTAGAAATTACACATGTAGATGCAGATAACTAAATTTTTGAAGATAAAAAAACCTGTATTCGCCGGTGCATAGCTGCCTGTATGATGGGAAAAAAATCAAAATTAAATTAGAAATCACAAAAAGTGAAAAATAATCATACAATAAGAACAAGAAAGGGAGTGGCAGGACCTGAAATTTTCGGCGGTTTTAGGGGCAATATCAACGAAGAGTTCCATTTTGATACGACCGGCTGGGGTGGAACCGATGGTTAAATCGAAAAATACGATTGGGTTTTTGGGATTTGGTGGCCTACCGTGCCACTCCACTCCTCCAGCGCCGCCTTCTCCTCCAGAAGCCATCGCGGCCGCACGCGTCTCTCCTTTTTGCTCTCACTGTAAGAACTGGGGTTCGACTAGGTTTTGGTTTGCAAGCTTTTGTCACTCCACCAGCGCTGTCGGGATTTTATTTCTTTTTACTTTTTCAACAGTTAACATTTTTGGCTAAAATATTAAAATGTTCCTACAGTTTTTCAAAATAGTAACATTTTACCGTCGAACTAGTCATTATTTTGAAAGATATTTACGAAGGAAAGGATCTTGGTTGGGATATAGTGTAATTTAGTTATCCCATTGGTGGCAAGTCATTTCAATATTATATTTGATTAATTTTATATTATCTTTTGTAATATGTTTCAGGAAAATTTTGAATTTTAAATTTAATAGGATAACTATTATAACATGATTTTGTATACATGCATAATACTATTTTAAATTATTCTACAAAGCTCTCAATCTTGGTTTTATATTGTAACTATCATCTAATAAGATCAATTTAAATAAATAAGTTGTATCACTTTTTATAATTTTGGGCATAATGAATTCGAGAATAACGTCAAGAGTTTATCACTTTCTATACCACATAAACTAGTCACCATTGCCATATTAGATGACTAGATGGTTTTTGTGAGCACATTTAGATATGACCAACGGTAAAATAGGAAGACTAATTCCTCTTGTGGTAGTTTTTTAAATTGCTTCTTTTAGGAGTGACAGTGTAAAATCCAGAAGGAATCATGAGTGTTATAACTACATAAGAGGAAGTGATATTATAAGTAGATAATTTCATTATGCCTTTTAGATTATACGAGTCAACACTATTATCAAACAAAATATCATTTTGAAAGATTTTATTAAAAGGTCATTTAAGAAGAAATAAATTTGTTAAGTATGCTTCCCATTTTGGTACCACGAATGCCTTTAAATTTCTAAAATAGAGAAATTTGAAAATGTGTGGCACTTCTGTTATAAATCAAGCATAAGGTAATTTGTAAAAGTTTTCTACATTAGAAAGTGATGCAACTCAGTTAGCCTTTTTCGTTTGAATCCAATCTAGATACTATGATTTGTACTTTTCATAGTGAGATATTGATATTATTTATGAATATGAGCAATCTTTCTTCAATCGTGTATACAGTAAATGATATGATTCAATTGTTATTGAAGGCAATCGACTATCTTATATTAGAATGACAAAAATTAAAATTCAAAAAGCAAACATTCATGTTTTATGTTGAACATCTGAATGTTCACATTCTGGTTGAAGAAAAACCCCAATGCAGTCGACTGCATTATGGAGATATGCTTACATTCCAAATTAGGTGTTACTCCTTTCAAATGATGTCTATTCATTAAATAACGTTTAAAGGCGTCTTTTGGGTTTTATATATACTTCCAAAATACTCATTTTATATACAACCTTGCAACTTTTCATTCTTTAAAAATAAAAAATAGATTTCTCTTCCCATGCTCTCTTTTTTGGTTTATGGTTCAAGTGTGTTAAAAAATAATTTGAAGTGCTATCATTTTCTTTTACATTAGACATTGTATCTCTTTTACATTAAACATTGTATCTTGAGGACAACATTTTTAATACTCATTTGCACTTGTGAGAAAACTATTATCGTGATAAAGTTTTCTAAAAGTATCTTACCTAAATTCTTTCTTTTTTAACTTTAACAAATTCGCATTATTGTCACTCTCACACAAAATAATTTAAGAAGTATATAAAGACTGCATAAGTTACCATCTCCGTCTACAACAGATCAATCTTTAAATCATCTTAAATTCAAGATAAAAGAAAATAATTAATACTGAAATAGCTGACTTATTAAGTAATTAAATGACAAAATCATATGATATCATCTTGTCATATTTGATTACAGCTGACTAAAAGTAACTCTAGTTCAAACGAATCTGTTTGATATTCAAGGAAAATCATTCTTTTTGTTATCATTTATTTTGAGGATCAATTTTTTTTAATTCTAAAAAAATATTTTATTTTTATTTTGAAATATCTTTTTCGTCTGTTTCATAAAGCAAAAGTAGCAGAAGCAGGAATTAATGGAAGCCTAATATTTTTTTTCCATTTTTTGTTTGATTGACTGAAGTATTCCAAACATAACAAAGATTTATAATGGGAGACACCGTAGTTTTGGTCCTCAGAGATGAGCCAGTTGAACTTGAAATAATCATTCCTTTTCTTTGATGTGTTTGAGTTTGATATAAAGCAGATTTCTGCATTCAATCTTCTATGTGTTCCTAAACACTTATGAGAGATTTACCATTTTCCTTTTCTTCAAGACCCTGAATATCTAATAGTCTTGCAAAATATATAAATGTTAATGCATAGATTGAGTGTTAAATGAGTACTAATAACTAAAAGCCTTGAATTTTTATTTTCCATAAAGTAGGACTGGAATATTACAAATAGTCATGACCATATATGGACATGACATAATTAGTTCAAAGGCCTTTGATACTTTGAAATAACACAAATAACAAAAACCAACTAAGCACACATGCATTAGATACTAGGTAGAGCTAGTAAGGCTGCCTGGCTGTCAAATTAATTTATTTTAATATTATGTACAGTAGTAGTCCAATTGCTATAAACTGCTGTATATATATTTATTTTGACAGCCTCATCACCACAGTTTCGGGCAGATAAACATTGAGCAGCCAGCAAAGCCAGCTTAATTAAGCTTGACTGAGTTTTGCCGTCATTGTTGGCTGAGAACTGATTTTTTCGATGGAAGCGTCAGAGGAGTATCCGAATTTATTATGGTCGCCGCTTTTTTCCACCGAGTTCTCAAGACTTTCTTTGATTTTATCCCAATCAATAACTTCGTCGACTTTAATGATCTCAGTATAGACCTGCAATCGATAGATAATTAATTATTTCAAAGCTCTAAATGGTGTGGTTTGGTTTTTTTTTTTTTTTTGTTGAAAAAGCAAAGTAATTCAGCCAAAATTCTAATGGTGTATTACCACAACATATGAATGAATTTGAAGTAAAATAAAAAATGAGTTAATTTTGAGATACTATTGAAAATGAAATTAATAAACTATGGGAATTAAGATCAATACCTTGTTATTAGGCACATTTTTAGCATTGCTCCAAGCAATAATCCACTTAAACTTGTCACCGATATATGCAACACCTGCGATGGAACCTTCAGAATCGGCAAAGTGCTTAAAGTTAGCATCGGGCTGTTGATTTTGAATCGATGTTGGGGCATCTCCATTGCCATTCCAATTTTTTTGGCTGTCCACCTTTACATCTTGACCAGCATGATTCTGAAACTGACACTTTGTGTACTTTGGATCACCTGAGCCAGCCATTTTTGGTTTAACCTACAAATTTCTAAAACCTTAGCTATTGGGTTTGGTTTTGCTTTGTGCTTGATGGTTAGTTGCACACATGGACACATACTTATATACTAGTTCGCAGCATAAGAAGACAAGAAGCCGGTTAGTACAATTAAAAGTTTTCATTTTTTTTTTTCTATCAATTCATGTTTCATTTCCATTTTCAAGCATAACCAAAGATCCATGTGAAAATTGTGTGGAAGGAGGAATGCAATCTTTTGCAAAGGTTAATTATTATGTTATAATAAATTCTTTTTACATTAATTCTAACTTTTCATTATATTTAAAACTATCATAATTTTATCATAAGAGCTACGCCACTTTTAATCTATTTTACTCAAAATAATACGAATTTTACAATTCATCTAATTTATTTACAATAACATTTTTAATTAATTTTTATTTTAAAATAAATATTTTTTTTGGTTTTAAAAGTTTTTTTCAGTTATTATCTAGAAAAATTATTAATTTAAATTATAATCTAAGTAAAATTCAAATAGAGCCAATGAAATTGGAAATGTTATAAAGAGAGTACACACATTAGAAGTCCTATTCACCTCATAATTGTTGTGTTAATTAATAAATGTAATTTATGGTTGATATCCTACTCCATTAAAATTGCAAACTTCAATATCCATATAAATGGGTAAAATTAGATTGATATCCTTATAACAATCCAGCTTTTGTCTTTTTTAAAGTTTATTGCATTAAAACCAAATAATGTCATTTTGCAACATGACTATCAATATTTATAGTGAATAATGTGTTTAGAGGTGTGGTGGATGTTGTTTTTTAGTAACAATTATCCTTATATATTTATAAGAAAAATTATTAATTTAAAATTTATATTGTCAAGTTAATTATTATGTTATAATAAAGTCTTTTTACATTAATTCTAACTTTTATTACATTTAAAATTATCGTAACTTTATCATAGGCACTATGACACTTCTAACCTATTTTAATCAAAATAATATAAATTTTACAATTCATCTCATTTATTTGTAGTAACATTTTTAATTAATTTTTATTTTAAATATAAATTATTTTATGTTGTTTCTTTAGTTTTAATAGTTTTTTTCAGTTATTATCGAGAAAAAATTATTAATTTAAATTTCAATCTAAGTAAAAATCAAATAGAGCCAACGAAATTGGGAATGTGATAAAGAGAGTATACACATTAGAAATCCTATTCACCTCATAATTCTTGTGTTAATTAATAAATGTAATTTATGGTCGATATCCTCTCCATTAAAATTGCAACTTCAATATCCATATAAATGGGTAAAATTACATTGATATCCTTATAACAATCAAGCTTTTGTCTTTTTTCAAGTTTATTGCATTAAAACCAAATAATGTCATTTTTCAACATGACAATTAGTATTTATGGTGAACAATGTGTTTAACTGTGTAGTAAATGTTGTTTTTTAGTAGCAATTATCCTTATATATTTAATTTCAATTGATTGAGATTGAGTCAATAGGTGCAACATAAATCGTTGGAAAGATCTATTTGTCAACTTTCTAACGCATTTTATAGCTTGTTATTTGAAGTTTTCTAAAGGGAGATATGAATGATTTATTACGAATAGGTTCACTGGTTAAATTCCTACACATTGTGTGATTTTGGGATTTAAATTACATTGTTTGGCAATGAATTAGCAGACTTGCCATGCATGGTTGGAATCTTAATTATCCAACACATTTTATAGCTTATAATTATTTGAACATTCTTATGTAAAGTTAATG